AAACAAAAAAAAAATTAACAAACAAAAACTATGAAAGAAAAGGGAAACACTACAGTTTATCGCAGAGCCGCTCATTTAAAACTTGTTTTTTTTTTCCAAACAATACATCTCTAAACTTGATTCTTGTTTTGCGTAGTAATTTTAGTGCAATTAACCCATTTAAGCTTCATATTTGACTTCTAAAAGCTATTATTCACTGTGGCCTATATTACACCCACTCAGGATCGTCAGTCCGTTCAGGAGAGCCAGTTCGGTGCTCGATCAAGCTATTTCGGGCATCTGACTCCATTGCCAATGACGAGGCGAATGAGATCATGCTGTACACATTTTAATCATACACAAACAGAAAGGCTGGTTTCTATATGTATATAAACAAATAAAAATGTGACATTGATGAAGGACGGTCGTTCGTGCACTGTCTCAAAACTTGCCTCCTCATTACAATGTATTTTGGTAATATTAAGTGTTAAATTAAAACTTAAGATTGCATACAAATCAATAAATGTTTATAATGAACGAGTGAAAAGATATAAAAAATAAACAAAATTTTCGATCATCAATTGATCTAAATAGTGGAAGAAGGGTCAAAGATCAATTTAAGTTCAATTAAACTAGGAGAATACCGTTTACAGTTTCTATCGATCGAGTTATAGTTAATTAGCTTAACTAATTGTAAAATAGAACTGGAACTCTATCATTCGTCATTTATTAGAAAAGAAAACTAATAAAAGTTGTAATTTCGTTAGGTTTGTGTGGATTTAAACAAAATGTATTTTATAGAATTTACCCCTAAATTGTGCGAGGAAAAGAGGATTATTCAAATAAACTGTTATTCAAGTACTTTCAACTTAAATTTTGAGAATTTTTATTTCAAATAATTTATAAATCTTTTAAAAATGCAACTGATTATTATTATTAAAATTAAACATATTTGTATCTAATGTTTTTAAAAACATATCAAGTGGCTACGAAAGCTGAAGCTCTGCAAGCCATTTGCACTTAACTCTCAACAATTTAAGGCTTAAAATGAAGTTCTAATCATATGAACCACTCGAAAATTGTTTGATTAGTACCATTTATTATTTTACTCATTGCCGTTACTTTCAATATCTTTATTAAAATTTCCAAACAGAAACTATCGCAATACGCAAAATATGCGTTTTGAAAGAGAAAACCATTTTGTATTTTACTCGAATGTAAATAATCGCCTCTCTAGAATCGTCAGTTTAAAATAGTGGAAGGTTTTCGCTTTACTTTGGTTGTTCTCAATAAAGAGAATGAATAAATGAATGTAAATTATAAAATATAAAAACAAAAATTTAAAAAATTCCAGCTAACAAAAATACTGTCATTTAAAAAGATGACGAATGAAATTTATTGTTTTTGTAAATGCATAAAGGATCTAAAAATACTCACTTTAATAATCTACAAAACCGCATTCAGTGTTAAAGCTGCGGTGTCTTCTTTATTTTAATGACTGGTAAAATATATAAAGATATGGGCTTCGCTTAAAGGATACTATTGTATTTCAAAAAGCTCGTATGTTTATGCCTCTTAATATGGTTATATTAAGAGCCTTCTCTTAATTACTCGCTTAAATTACAGATCAAGCATAGACACATGCTATCGCTAAATAAAATAAATTATGTAACTAAATATCTACTTTTATTAATTAGCCCAATCTGCCCACTACGTTAAACAAGTCTTGACGTTTCAACATCGGGCTCGATGGTATCTATTTGTCAATTCAATTTGGTTAGGTATAAAACCCATATCGAAAAAAGTGTTTTTGCCATTTTTATTATGAGAATATTTTTATAACTTACGAGACCCAGAACACATCCCTGCGGTATCCTAAATGCATTTAATGGTTATAAACGAGTGTAGCAATAAATTGTACAAACGCATGTGGGTTCGACCCCCGACTAAGTCCAAGGCCATGGGTTTGTAATGAAAACAAAGAGTGATATAAGTAATTGTTTCATATAGTGCGTTTTGAAAAAAATGCAAAGGAAAATAAAGTCCATAATAATTTCAACTCTTTTCCCAGTATCCAATTGATTTTATTATTAGTATTTATCCAATATGTTCTTGTTATATTTGTTAACGTCCAAATGTACTTTCATTATATTAATTATACTCGTATTATTCGCAGATTATTCGTATTAATAGCAGATTTATTTGATGGCTTGTTATTCAGTTTTTGCTAGTCACTATACCTTTTTTGTGCTATAAGAATGTTTTGAACGAGTTATTTTTTTCTATCTGCTATAAGTTTTTGTTGTTAGACAAGCTTAGAGGTACCGAATGCGTCTTTGATCTGGTTTTAATGGAACACCACGTGATGTTACAAACATCTGTGCTATACGAGTTGCGACAAGATCAACTCTTATTATGCAATTATAGGGGGGCCCGATTGAACACTATTTTACATTTTCGCCATCCATTATTCGCTCCCTAATTTTGGGCCCGTACCGAATTACGTATTAATATATTCCGTCCAGTTTCCATTCACATGTAATTCAATGTGTGAAGATCCCTTTTTAGAGCAAGAACTAGGTCGCAGATGCGTTCTGAATTGAGAAATTTAAATAAAAACTCCTTACTTGCTTGTTGAAAACTGTTAAATTTGATTTTTGAACAAATGAATAGCCCCTCGCTGGTGAATAAAAAGGTAATTTATTAAGGTTATGTTAATAAATGGCTCTTAAACAGATTCTGTAACTTATTCATTAATGTCGAATTAAGAGAATATATGTGAAAATATATTTTGGTGGGAGATTTCGGATTCTATAGTAGGATTTCATATGTAATTTAATATGTGAAGATCCCTTTTTACGGCAAGCACTAGGTCGCAGATGCGTTCTGAATTGAAAAATTTAAATAAAAACTCCTTACTTGCTTGTTGAATACTGTGAAACTTAATTTTTGAACAAATTAATAGCCCTTCACTGGTGAATAAAAAGGCAATTAATTTAGGTTATTTCAATGTCGAATTAAGGGAATGTACATTCCCAGTACGTGAAAATATATTTTGGTGAGAGATTTCGGAATCTATAGTAGCATGAAACTGAAGATATATGAAAAAATATTTTAGCTGCATATTTCATAGTTTATTCATGTTTAGGATGAATTACATTAAGGTTATAATCAAACCAATGTAATTAAGATCGTACAAATTGTCATCGTAATCTATATTGGTTGAATTTCTTGTTCAGCCAAACTTTTGCGCTTAATAAGACACACCTAAGGTGTGCTAACAAATAATAATTGTTATTGATCGTTTCTATTACTACTTATTAGGTGTATGTTAACCAGCAGTTTCATCGTTGGCTTGTGCAACGCATGTACTGCGCGTGCGCACGATCCAGCTATTGTCACCACTCAACTCTATTGTTACACAATGCGTGACTCGATAAATCCGAATAAAATATTAATTATCCTGTAAGAACGGTTAATAAATAATTCACGAACGATATTCACTTAAAAAACGTAATAACCTTACCTGATTAAAACTTAATCAACAACACTGATTTGAAAATTTTTTTTTGTGTTGATTGGTCCATTTATTGAAGAAGGCTTTAGGCTATATAACATAACGCTATGACTAATAGGAGTTGACCAGCAACAGCAATGAAAAATTTTACAAAATCGGGAAAAACGCGAGTGAAGCCGCTAGACGAAAGCTAGTAATTGGGTCAGTTTCAAAAAAAATGTACCGTAACGAAAATGAAACAAAAAAGAATAATAGGTGCCGTAACAAAAAAATATAACAAAATGGAATGGTAAAGTCGTGGTCACAGGAGATTCAAACTCAATCTATGTACATAATTGTTTACATTTATTTTTCCTTAAGCATATTAATTAACAATGTCTATGAATCAATAATGTCGCTTTAACAGTATGTTTCCTTTATTCAAAGGCTCATAACCATAAATACGAACTCCTAAAATTTCAAAATGTCATTAGTATATTATGTCACCGGAAAATAAGAAATGTAAATTTTTGAATTTGCTAGGAAAGTTATCATTTTGTAACAATGATTTTGTAACAAAAATGTAACTGTAACAATGTCATGTAATGACAAGGTGCAATAGGCTATATAAAAAGATTTTTGTCAAATGTCACCAAAAATGCTTTATTTATGTCACGCATGTATGTACGCATGTCAAAGCCTAAACAAATGTAACGTGTCACCATATTAATTAGTATCAAATATAATTGTTTAATTTACCTACTGCAATACTATTTGTAGCTTATAAAAAAATAATCAAAACAAATTACAATTATGAGACAAGCAAAAAATCTAAAGAGTATACAAATACAGCGTGTCACCACATTGTTACAGGCTGTATGTTTAAAATCTGTCACCACATTGTAACAAACTATATTCATATAACCTGTAACAATGTGGTGTCAAAAGGCTATATAAATAAAGCTTGTCACATTGTAACGGGCTATATTTATATAGCCTGTTACAATGTGATGTCAAAAGCCTAAATAAATGTAACGTGTCACCACATTGATTAGTATCAAAAATAATTGTTTAATTAATTTACTACAATACAAATGCTCTTTTTAGCTTATAAAAAATAATTTAAAAAAAATCACAATCATGAGACGGTTAATAAGAAAAATCAAAAATAAATAAATAAAACATGTCACCACATTGCAACAGGCTATATTTATATAGTCTGATAAAACGTTTTAAAATGATATTGTTTAATTTACTTACAACACTTATGCTCTTTTTAGTTTATAAAATATAATCACAGGCAAATCAGTCAAATAACACATTTTCTATAGTCTAGAGTCCTTTATAGACTGTTACCACATTGTAATAGGCTATTTATATAGCATGTTACAATGTGGTCCCAAAAGGCTATAAAAAGTTAATTCTTTAATTTACTTACAATACTTAGGCTCTTTATAGCTTTTATAATATTATCAAAAACAAAACAGTCAAATGACACATTTTCTATAGTGTAAAGCCCTCTGAACTATTCACCGTTAGCACTAGCGGCATAATTATATTTAGTAAAATTAATGTTCATCATCACTATCTGTATAAAAAAAGTTATGTGTACGTTTTTTTGGGCTTACGTTATACTTATTCTTAATATTTTGATTAAAATAACTGCAAGACGGCTCATATAAACTATTTTCTGAAGATAAGGGTTTTCTGATAACCAATTCTTTGAAATCCGTCCTTATATCATTTGAAGAAATATTGTATTTTGCATTCTTGACAATATTCAATAATCTTTTTTTGCTGTAATTTACTTTAACTGATTCTAGAATAGTTACTTTCGGAGTCGGATGGCTCCTTTCTACAACTTTCTTTGTGGATTGTATGCCAAATATTTCTTCAGATGATGCAGGTGCTATATTTTCAGAATGATTAATTTTTTCACTAATTAAACTTACATTTTCAGCTGACGATGAAGAAGACAAATTTATTTTAAGTCGGCGTTTTGGTGGACATAACACATAGGAACTTGAAGAGCTTTCATAACAAATTCTTTTAACCGATTTATTTGACTTTAACAAATTGTGTTTCTTTAAAGAAAAACAATTGCAAAATCCTCTTTCCACAGAATTGTCGCAAAAACAGCTTAAATTACGGTATGAAATTATATTTTTGTCAATATTTGTCAAAATCTGGTGGATTTTCATCGTATTAGGTACTGCTATTAATGAATTTAAACCTTCTTTGTAATTGTCTGTAATTTCTTCAATTTCACTTTCTTCAATATTATACACTTCTATACATGTATCTTTTGTGTGCGTATATGCGTCTTGAGCAGTATTTATATCAATTCCGTGTAATACTTTCCTATCTAGTAGTCTTTTTATATATCCTCCTACTCCATCAGCCGCGCCCTTACCGTGCGACGCTTCGAAGTAGTTCCAGGTACCATTTAGACCAAAATGATGCATAACACTGTTAAAAAGGAAAAAATTTTTCTTCTGTCTGTATTGGGATGATGGTCCATCGGAATATATGTGCAAACAAGTAACTGCGGGATAATTATCTTGAATATAGATCAAAATAGGCTGCAGATGTGCCCATATTGCTTCGGGTGTATGACTTTTGGAATCCGAAAATGTACAAAAGCATTGAGCTTTCTCATTATTTTTGTACAGTACACTCGTATGCAAAGATATTTGGTGCTGTGAACCGCCAAAATGGACAGCCTGAACGTCCTGATGCATTTTACAAGCATAATTTTCTGAAAAATCGCAATGTAGGATCATTTCATTAGACTTAAGATTATCTTTCAATTCTCTGTAAGTACTATACTGATGAGTGATGTTAAATAAATGCACCTTATAAGCCTTAAATTCCGTCTCAAACTTCTCTGTCAAGTTTTTTAAAGAATCTTGCTTGATCTCCTTTAACATCCTTTTAGACACTTTCTTTACACCATTCTTATCGTATTCATGATTTTTGAGGTTCCATTCTATCCAAGATATATTAGCATCCTGATTTGTTGATGAATAGTCATAGTTAATTTTTTTTTCTGCACAAACCGTGCATTCGGAATACATACAGCTTCTTGATTTCTTATCACAAACAGTCGCTTTTACTGCTTCCTTCAAATTATTATAGAACACCAACACATAAGCTTTTTTCAATGAAATAAATTTGAAATGCATATTCGCATGCTTTCTACAAGCACAAGTATCTCTATCCGACAATTTCGGGCTCAAAACATAAAATGGTTTTCTTCTTATAAAAGTTGCATAAGAAATTGCTAACCCGGTGTCATTTACAAATTTTTTATGTATGTTTTTTAACGTGTCGAGGAGCAATCTCTTTTGCATTTTTGTTTTATTTAGGGTCTTGGTCTCCTTTTTTCCAGCTGTTGCTCGACTTATATCGTCACGTAAAAAAAATTGTTCTATCTTATCGGCAATGTATTTTTGTTTTTTTGTTTTGGCTGCTGGGTTGCGGATTCTGCCTTTCAAGCCTAAATATCGAGCCCATCGTGTTTTTAATTTGTAACTTTTGACCAAAGGGTCATTTACAATTTTTTTTATTACATTCCTTTCAATGTTCGTCGTACACTTCTTATAAAGCGTCTCTAACAATTTGGGCAAAAGGTCCGTCCGAAAAGGAGCATGAGTATTTTCTTTTTCTATAACTTCTGCCTTTTCTTGTTGACATTCAGCTAATATTTTGTGTCTAAATACTTTTTTTCTCAATGTGTCGATTCTTTTCTTCATGCGTTTGTTTTTTTCCTCTTGGTATTTATATTTCTTTTGAAATTTATAGTAAATATGTTTATATATTTTATACGGCTATTTTTCTCTGTGCAACATTTTTCTGGATTTTGTGCTTCATTTTCGTTATTGTTATCTTTTTTCTTTATTTTACTTTTTTCTTTAAGTTTCCGCCAAGTCCTACGCCTTATCTTTCTTTGGTGTTCAGATAGTTCTTTTACTCGTATATAATTATTTTTAATTCTTTCTAAATTTTTTAGCCTGATTTCCTCATATTTTTCAGGGTTTTTTGTTTTTAACCTTTCTCTATACAGTCGTTGTCGTTCAGCAGGAGATAAAGGCATATTTATTTCTGAAACCACAAGGGAAAAATAAAAAATTGAGATATAAAAAATTTAATCTTTTAACCAACTTAAGAAAAGGAGGAGGTTTTCAATTCACCGGGAGAGGGGGGGAGTTAATTATTTCCAGTAAGTAAGGGGTGCGCTGTGCCAAAAAAACCAAACGTTTTCTTTTTCAAAGAAAAAAAAAACACCTTCGAAAAATTTCAATAGGCGGCGGCAATTGCTTACCATTAGATGATTCGTCTGCTCCTCTGCCCTATTAGATAAAAAGAAATAATAATAATGTTTTAGTTCACTTTAAAGAATTTACTAATCCTATTTAGAATTTGGCGCCTACTTCAACATTTTTTTCTTTAAACCTGAACTGTTGTAAAGCACAATATGAACAGTACTGAAACATTATTTATCACTTCTTTTTATGTATTTTTTCAGTCAGTGGATGAATAAGAATGCGAGTTAGAAAGCTAGACAAAGATCAAAGTCACACAAACGTATATAGGTACACACGCGTTTTTGGATTGTATATTGTAGCTATTTAGGGGCTGTAGCAAAAAAGCATTGTTCTTTCCACGCATTGAAACATACTGTGTAGACAGCCAAACATCAAGTTATACAGATACAAATCTGTCAAATTTGGCAGATTTATGCAAAAATGACAAATTTACTTGATGTGTGGCTTACTGTACGAACTAAAAACTCACACTTGATATGAATCGAGCCTTACATTTCATTTTTGTAACGTAACAAAAAAAAACATAACAAAAAGTTATAAAAATGAATTGGTACCTCGTGTCTAATATAACCTTAAATTTATTAGTGGAGTTATTGACCTTATAGTAAAGCTAAGTTCGATACATCTTAATGATGTGTATCAAAAGATTAATATAGCAAATAAAACAAATTAATAAATCACTTACCTACGTTAGTAGCGTTTTAAGAAAGAATGCTAGATAATTGTCTATTTTTACCACGAAGTTGTTATTCACTCACAGCTCTGTCGCGAAATAAAATGGCCGACCCACTTGTGGCGCCACCTACACAGTACTATGTTGGCTTCTAGTACTGCCAGTATTTAAATAAACATTTCTACCAAATTCATGATAAAAATTATGTTATAAACTGGAATAACAAAAATGAAAATATAATGGGACAAATTTTGATATATTATTATAGAAATAATAATAAATAATATTAATATTTCAATTTTTTTTTTTAAACTTCAGTTCATAGGTAATGAGTTCATATTATTTTTTTCCTAATAAACTAGACCATATATTTTTGATCTGTAAAGTTTGGTGTTACCTTTAAATGGGACACGTTTTTTTTATAGGGATCCTCTATTTGATAATCACTTATTAAATTATAATAAAATATTATATTAGTCTGAGTAGAAAATGGTATTAGTCGCAATGTAAGTATGTGAATTATTCAAATTAATCAGGAACATGTCTTTTATTAACTGGTTTGGAATAAAAATAATCTACTTGGGACAAAAATAATGTTAAAATGTACATTTTTTTTGAAACTGACCCAATTAATATATTATAAATGCATCCTGAATACTATTTTGATATTTCTTATATAGAACAGTTCTGAATTTTCAACTGTTCATCACGGGCATTTGAAACTGTTAAACATTTTAAGTATGTATATATTTGTAAAATCATTTACATTCTGTATAATTTAATGTTCATACAAAAACCTTAACTAACTTAACTATAACATTAATTCCAGCAAAAATGAGTCATTATCACTTTAATAGACACGTGAATCATATTCATTTTTTATGTCTTTTTTTCTTTATTGTCCTTGAAATATAATATACATAACTGAAACAGGAAAACATTTATATATGATCGTGGGTAAACCCAAACTAAAAGGTTCGCGAACATATTAGCTGACGATTATGGATTTTCTATTTTATTAATATTTTCCTTCATGACATTAGGTAACGTGGTGTTCGAAGTTTAATAATTGATATAAGTTTCTACAGCAGAATTATCACCATGAGCCTATTAATGTATAATAAAAACATAGCTGAGTTCAACCCCATAAATATAACTGCTGGTTTTCACGATCATCGATAGCAACTTTAGTACTCTGATCACATTTTAAGTGAAAAAGCACCCCAACTCTTAATTTGTTCCAAATATAACACAGTATAATCTTTTATTTTATTTGTTACATTCATAACTTACAAAATAACTGATGACGCTATTCATTATATAAATAATATTTAAAAAGAATCTGACTAAACTGATGCGTTTAATGCAAGCTAAGTTACTGGTTGCTTGAAGCATCTGTTATATGATGAGTTGTAAAAGTTTATCGATACTGCCGAATCGATAGCACATGTAGGCGGATGGCTGTGATGTTACCGATAGCGGACGTCCCCATTCCTAGTGGTAACGGGACCGACCGTTTGAGTACGCCTTCACGACCGTTTCAGTGTAAATCGATGCTATAAGCTAGTTATAGTTGCATACCATTACAGCTTTAAGGAATTTAACTAGTAAACCTAATACAGAATAATTGTAACTTGATTCCATACTGATTTCAGTTAGGCGATATAGTTTCAGGTAGGCGATTAGAATAGGAAAGTATTATTTGCTCTTCTTTTAAGTTAGAATGCAGTGTCGTTATTGTATAATTATATTTACTAGACGAAATATAATTATATTTGCGGCCCAAAAAACATAATAGCGATAAAATCGTTCAATTTCTTACATTCGTGAGACTGAATTCTGATAAGGTTAATTTTCTGTCAAAACTGAAGGAGATATTGTTGCCTGTATTGGAATTATCATATTAAACTTATTAGAACTATTGCTTATAAGAATAAAGTTCCTGAATTTGAGAGGGATTTTTTCTTTGAAGTCTATCAACTAATCAAAACTGACGGTTTTCCATACTTTTTGAAGGCACCAATCCTATAACCGGCCTTTACGAAAGACCTCCACAATCATAGACCTGTAGTGCCAATTAATTATTATGCCACCAATCTCTAGCTAGATGAAATATCAAACAAATTAAAAATTACGACCGCTCTTAAATCTAATAGTCATCGACATACATAATTAGAAACACAGTTAAAAGTCGTAAAATTATGCATTCAATAATAAATGAAGTATAAATGAAGCATTCTAAATAAGCGAATATTTTCTTTAGAATATCGACAGGTGTTTACGTAGGAATATCTATTAGTGAAGTCTCAATAAGATCTAATAGCTAGAATCAACAGAAGGCTTACAAAAAGTCGTGCTTCCTTTTGTAGTGTGTGCGAATCAACAGGCAGAGGAGTTCCCAGTGTAAGTCCACATTGGTGGTACTTCATTTAGCAGGGTTGCTTCTTCATTATCTTAAGTTAGCTATAGTGAGGAGAATACATTCGGAAATATAGAAGATATCAATATAGGCACACACAGAGAATAAATTTTGTGGTATACTTTTTATATCCTTGCTAAAAACTGTTAAACAGTACAGTATAGTACAGTTTAAAAACTATTTCTACACTCGTAATTCACCTCTCTCTTCACTTCTCTTTTTTATTTAAAACCTCTTTGTTGTTATTAATATACGAGAAATAAATATTTTCAATCCAAGAGTTGAAACTGTCATACGCAGACAACGAACTCAAAAAATAAGCGCATTCCTTAGATAAAATGCCGTAAATTGAGCCCAAAATCCGACCACCTGTTGCTGATCGAACGTTAAATTTCATTCCGAATGACTCAACACGTTTCTTGGCTCGGGACTTGAATACTTACTTGAACATTTCTTGGAATATATTGAGGACGAACTTATATGAGGAAAGTTAAGCCCGCTTGTTTAACAAAAGTCGCGACAGTACGTGATAAGGATGTCACTAGCAACAGCAAGAGTGCGATCGCTAACTCTAATGCCGTAACTCTAGCCATTGTTTTAAAAAAATTTAATGATTTTATCAATAAATATGATGCTATTATTTTAAAATTTTCTTGTTTTATTATTTACATTTTTTATTAAGTTATAATGAGAGAATTAGGCTATCGCTAACCAAGTGATGTGGATGGAATAGGATAACCGAGTGCACACGTAATGCAAAATGTCTAATTAACAGTGAAGAACTCAAGACCTACAAACTATTTCTGTAGGTTCTATAGGTTATCAAGGTTATGGAAACCCGATAAAGCGAATACCCTCTGTTTCAAAAAGATGGGCCTGAGCACATCTCTCTCGTGTTTGCTCCAAGTAAGTGTCAATGGTAAGCAGTCATACGTTATTTGATATGAGAAAAATGTCAAATTAAGTAGAAAGTTAATCATTGCAGTGAACGTTTTAGGAGACAAGGTTTTACAATTGCTCAAAGTCTTTTTTCCATTTATATTGTCGGAGAGCTAGTAACAAAATATGTGTTAGAGTTTTTAATGTAACAGTACACGTACTCAATATCCAATACGGAGGTTAGATGGCGGAAGACATAGGGTGCGACCGCCAACTCATTTGCCATACAATATAATATCTTAGCGATGTTATGGCAATATTTTGTATCATTTTACTACTTTAATATGTCTTTTGGTGGTCAAACGACTAAGTAGATAACATTGCTGTGAAATTAATAATCGTAATTCTTTGTTCTTCTTTATAACAATGTGTAATGTTTGAACTAAACAAAGGTTT